AGCAAGAACTAACACTGCTGCAGTTTTCACCCCACTGTGGCTTAACATACACACGTGACATGAGTTTTGCTTTCTAGACTTTGAGGTGCAGTTGCCCAGAAACCCCTACACCTCTTACCTTGGCAGACATCATGCCCTTAGCAGAGGCTACCATCCCTGCAAGTTTCATATGAATCAGGCAAGAAACAACAAAGTTATAGATATTTCATTGATTCCCCATTATACCCTATTGCCGAATCGCTGAATATCTCCGAATTGGCTCCAAATCTTTTCTGAATCGATTTGGCCAAATCGAATCAGAAAAGTGATTCCAATCTCCAAATCGAATCAGGCGAATCTGAATCAGCCAAATCCAAATCCGAATCAAATAGTTGCCTATTTGCACAGGTCTAGTTCCTTTCTAGTATAGCAACATACAGAAGGTCCAATCTGGACTCCACTACACTAGCCATTTCTAAACATACAGAAATACAAGATCTCTTCCCTAAACAGCTTACAAAACTAACACTAGAGTACCTCTAACTGTTGTATTGTGATGAGATCATTTATAAAGCTCATTATTCCCAGAAGTTATATACTCTGAGATGAAAGATGCAGATACAATGGGCATATTAAAAAAACTGATACTGAGCAATAACTATTCCCCAGAGGTCTCCACTTGCCAGGCACACTGGTATTTGGTAAAAGTTGAAGGTGGAAGGGCTCCCAACAATTTCTCTCACAGAAAAACTGGCTGAACCTCAAGAAAAGACACGGTATTTGTGTCCTTCAGGCAATCCTCAGCCTCCAGAGTCAGACCAAATTTATTTTACTTTATCCACAAAACAAAAAGAAATTTCATCACAAGACAGATTAACTAAAATGTCTATCCCTTGAAACAGATAAGAATTTCAGATACTGCCATTACTGCAATAGAGACAGAGCCATTATTTTGCCCCTCTCAAAACCATGGCATACATAGTATGAAAAAATCCTTCTTCCACAATCAATTAGATTCAAGTAGAATTATCACGCATCATACAAAAATAATTTCTTCTTTCTCTTCTGTGTTGTAATATCCATAAAACAAGGTAAAAACTGGTTAGGAGGATGACTTGATGGCTGAGAAGGACAGGGTTATAAAATTCAACTAATGCATCAAGAAAGTGAACTATTAAAATAATAATACTCTCTCTAATTTTATGATCCAATATAACATTTTCAAAAGAACAACAGACACTTCACTGCAGTTTTTGAAACCCAACCACTAAAGTACTGTGAATCCAAACCCTCAGCCCCCTATCCCCTCCACAAAAAACCTAAAAAAATAATTATTAGCAGGCTAGATTTTACTTTTAAAAATTGATGTTTTTAAAATAAACAGCTTTTGTTTATAAGATATAACTTGCAAGTTTTTCTTCTGTAAAAATAGAGTCCCTCTTACTTCTAAGGTAAAAACTTTAAATCAGTGATCATTTAAAACAGATATTAGCAACTAAAATAGATTTTTTTTTTAACCCAATGTTTCAGGGGATTGGTAGTTTGTATATCCAGCAGAATGTGCTCATCCTGTGCCATGGACTATTCATACTGAGATTCAGCTCTAAAATTTATGTCCAAATTAGAAGTCCAGAAAACATGCGGAAAAGACCATGTGGTTGATTTGAAAAAATCATGAGATGAAATAAGACTTAACATTATCTTGAGAAACCTGCAGATCGTAGTATAGAGAGATACAATGAGCAATACACTTAGGCACGGTTTTCTTGGTAACAGCAGAATTTATTGAGTTAATGGTAAATCTAAAGGTTATATAATTTTTCTATATTTTATTCAACCCAAGTATATTTGAGGCTGTGAAGGACAGTTTCACTGGGATACAGAATGAAATTCTAATCTTACTGAAGTCAACAAGAAACTCCTATTGATGTAAAACTCCCATTGACTTCTATGTGGCCAGTTTTTCACTAGGGTATGTAGCTTGTTGTTTAAGCCTCAGTTCCAGTCAATACATATCATATATATTCAGGCCTCAATTGTGCCAATGTGCCCACTGGCATAATTCACACAATTCACTTCAGTGGATTTACAACACATGTACCTAAGGAAAATCATTAAAATGAAAATCATTTTAACTTCTAACACAGGCATGTCTGTGTTGGATAAACATTTAAGTCACTTGTATTTTTTATTTATAGGCAGGAGATACAAACAAATGCTGTTGTACTTTGAAAATACCAAGCAGTTCAGCCTTTGATTCAATATCTGAATTCTGATAAATTCAGATGTTTAGGTTAGCTGATACAATGTGATATTATCTTATTTTATTTCAATGGAATTAGCTTATGGTCAGGTACAGACTTGTTAACTTGATACCTTAATGATACTTTTGGCATAATTTATGTGCCAAGGGTGGAGTCAGCCTGGCCACATAAGTGTCTACACTTAGGTGTTCCAACACCTAAAATGTAGGCACTTTTGCACAAAGAAGGCAATCCAATTTGACAGGGTTTAGATGCTGTAGAGAGCTTGATGATGCCAAGAGATTCTCCAGAAAGCCTAGAGATACTCATAGGCAGCCAATATGAAATATCAACCACAGGGGTCTGTCTTAATTCTGCTCTTCTCAAGAGTTTATGCACCTTCATTCATTTATGAACCAGAATGTCTACTCTGGCTTGAGGGTAGGCCTATTATTAGGCACTGGTAATTCTCTAACAGCCCATTCCTGGGAGAGGGAAGACTGGGGATAGATCTCCCATTACTTAGGTATGTGATCTAACCACTAGGCTACTGGGCAAAAGGTAGGCACTACTACTACTGATTTTTTAATATCAAATTCAATCTTGTGCATGTGTATAAATGCGATTCAAGCACACTAAGTGTACTGGGCCCCTTCAGTGTCTCTCTAGAGCCAAACTTGTTTACTGTGGAAAGGTAGAAATTAGTGGCTTCAGAGATCAAAGTGGATGACTTCTGGGAATGCTCAGTGTAAAAGCCTAAGATGCTTTTCAGTACAAAAGTGGAGGTGTTATGTAACTGGGTTCAGTATATAGACCAGGACTAGCCTTAATTACTTTTTTGGAGCACAGGTGCCTAAACTCTAAGCAAGTCCCATTTAGGTGTCTACAGTAAGAAAGAGGACCTAGTCTTAAGTTTCAGAAAAGATCAGTTATAACCCTGCTCTAAAAGCCACAACCCCCTACATTTTGGACAAAAAAGTTCCCTATGTGCCTGTATTTGGGTTCCTATGAATGCCTTGAAGAGATCCAACCTGAACACCTAGATGCCTAACTGTTGCCTAGCATCCCTTGCAATCAAGTTCACCATGTAGTTTGCTAGAGGAGCCCAGTCCAATAAGTGTCCTGAGAACACACCCAAGGCTGACACCAACAGCACTACATTCTGTATACACTGTGACAGTCACTTTTGCTCAAAAACATGCTTGTGGTAGTAGTGGCTGAGTAGTTAGAGCATTTGCCCAGGAAGTGGGAAACCTGAGTTCTAGATCTTTTCTGTCTAATGGGACTAACACCCATATGTCCTACCTTCCAAGAGAGTGATCTAACTACTAGACCAGTGATGCTCAACTAGGGTATCATGGCATCCTTGGGTGCCTTGAGATCCTTTCAAGGGTGCTGTAGGATGCCACACAATGTTAGCACTGTTAGGTTTACAAACATGATTCACAAGGTAAACCCAGAGGTTCCAAACATGAATCCATTGCCATGGTCTTTCTGAGTTCTTTGCAATAGAAAAAAAACACCTTATTACTTTTCTATAGGTGGAAAAAAATAGTGAAAACTAAGAGCTGGCATTTTCCAAGGGGTGCCTTATGTCGATCCAGGGGTGTCTCAAGTCTAAAAAGGTTGAGAACCACTGCACTAGACTATACAATACCCCTGTTGGGAGATGGAACACAGTGCAGCCAAGATTGAAAGAGCCATGAGATGTAAGCAGAGCAAGCAAAAAGGAGCCTGATGTTAGTGTCCAGTGATGAGAACACCTAGGAGAGAGTAGGGGGCATGGGTCCCATTCAAAAGGCAGGTGTTTGTATCACTACTATTATCAAGTAGTCTGGTGATTACCTTCAGAAGCACCTGACTGCCTAATATGAAGTCCCAAGTCAAGTGCTTAAGATCCAGATGGGGTGGAAGTTCAGATATGTCACTGTGCTTCATAATTCTTATTGACTAATTCCAGGTGTCTTTGGACTCTCTGAATTGTCCTTTGGAGGTAGCTAACCCTCTCCATTGACTGCATAGTGAGCTTAGTTAAGCATACAGATCTGCTTCTCTTGATCACTCTCCTGAGATCAGGTACCAAACTTGTAGGTACTGCAGTGCCTAAACAGAGGCACCAAGGAGTCAGTCTGAACCTGAGGGTCCCAGTCTCTATCAGGACGAGATCCATGTATTTTTCTGTTAACTATAAATGTATTCTCATTTTCCCACTAATTGAAGTATGTAATAACAGCACTATCTGAATTATCTGACAGGCAATTTATTTCTTACTGAAGGAATATTTGGGGGGGTGTAACAGTCTTCTCTCAAATCCCTTAAAATTGCTCATTTTTTTCTTGTTAAATAATCTCATTACGATATATTTATTTAACAGCACAGCAATACAATGAAGAGTTGCTTAATTCATTATTTCTAAATTACTATTTCTTTTAGCAACAGTTACCCACTCCTCATTATTTCATGTAATATTCATTGTATTTAACAGAATACATTTACTTGCTTTTATTGTCAACATCAGACTGTATTATCCTGCAGTCATTCCATTATGGCATTTAACATGCTACTGAAGCATTGCTAAGTGCATCACTAATTGTTTAGAGGCTTCATTTGAAACCTGCATGTACAGTAGAAACCTACAAGCAAACAGGACACAGAAGTTACTAAAAAGCCATTACAATATTGCACAGACTAACCTTGCTGCATGGAGCAATCCAGTAAGCCACTGACAGGAATGGCAGACCCACTGCAACAGCAAGGACAACTAGAAACTTCACTGCCATGGTCTGCTGCCGTAAACCTGATAGATTTTCATACCAGATTGAGAGAAGCTGTTGCTGGCAGTTTGGATGCGCTACAAACTAAAAAAAAGAAAAGAGAATACAACAAAAGACCATTATTACCAGCAGGGCCATCCCTAGCTGGGGGAGAATTGGTGCGACTGCTCCGGGCCCCGCAGACAGTGTTGTCAGCTCCACTGCAGCTGCGATGCACCACTGGCTATGCACACCAGCCACTTGCCACCCCCACATCCCACTCTCAGGCCACTTGCCATGCCCCACTCCCCGCTTTCCAGCTGCTCGCTACCCTCCTCCCTCTGACATGGGCTGATATGCCCCGGGCCAGCACACCCCTAGGGACAGCTCTGATTACCAGAATACCACTAATTAAAATTCTAGAGCATTTTTACAAGTTGGGAGGGAGGGGGTAGCTTTAGAGAGGCTCCAAGAGACACTCTAATTACAGTGCCCACAGCGTCTCGTGTATCAGCATCCCTGAGCTTCAGAATGCTGGTGGGAGCACTTTAACTAAAGCTTGTCAAACAAACTTTACTTAAAGCAACCCCAGCACCACTTTGAAGCATGGGGATACTGATATACAAGATGATGAAGCTAATTAGCACACTCCAGCAGACTTGATTGGGTTTGCTCCAATGTACTGTAATTACAGCACATCAGAGCAGCCTCCCTGCACGTGTACAGGTACCTCTAGATACCTGAAATGTAAGAAGAGCAAATTGGTTCATTTTCAGTGTACCATTAAAAAAAACAATGCAATAGGCTCTTCTTGATTAGTTCCTTAGTATGGAAGGAATAATTACTACATGGATCCTTGACATTTTTATTTCCTAAATATACAGTGGATGCAGTTTAGCTGGTTAAAATTCTTTTGGGGGAAAAAACCCAAAACAAAACATCTTTTGACTTGAAGCACAATAATTTTATTTTAAGTATACTCACCTAACATCAACTATATTTCAACAGTTAATTTGTCTATGCTTCTATCTTCATCCCAGATTTATTTTAATGGCTTATATAATTTAATAGCAATATGAAATAAAAAAAATGATAATAAATGACCTCCTAAAAGATTGCTCTAGTCACAGTTAAGTGTTTTTCTTACAAAGTGAGAATACTATGAAATTATTGCATTTTAATAGAGCACTTTTAATCTGATGTCTATTAACATCTATAGGAATGTTGCTCCAGACTTCATTGTATTCATCAGCATTTTTATCATCATTGTTGTATTCATCATCTGTTAATATATAGGTGAAGGACGGGGTAGCATGGGGCATTATGGAGTGTTTCCACATGAACAGGTCTTTGTGTCAATACGTTTAGGAAGTTGCCATCAGTATGTTGCAAAAGATTTCAGGAAATCACAATTTGTAGGGTTAATCCTGTGGTGCCAGTAACCATGATACTTTAGGTTTTCACATAGGACTTTTACCAGGAAAATCTGTTATGAAGATACAATTGAAAGAGGACTGGAGGACAATTTAAACTCTGTAAAAAGATGGCATGTCTCTTAGAAACATATAGATGTCAATTCCTATTCTCAAATGTATGTATGGAAATAGAATATGGAAATGGAAATAGTGTTAGAGGGAAATTGTAGCCACAATGGTCCAGGAAATGATCCAGTGGTAAGGATTTCTTAGGGTGATATCCTTTATTAGATCAGCTGCATAATTGGGATAGAATCAGACAAGATTTTCAATGCAAAATATCAGGTCTGTGGAAATCAGCACAGCGCAATAAAAAAACACCTACAAACCACCATATACAAAAAACCCCCATGGACCATCCTACTTATGTTCACAAGTCAGGCCCTCAGATACCACACCTGCTCTCAGGAGAACACTCACGATTAGAGACTTACTCAAATTGTGATTTCACAGTTTTCATGGAAACTCAAAAATGGCAGTTTCTACAATCTTGCATGGAATCATCCTAGAAAACTTACTAGAAGTGGGAGCCAGAAGCCACTGCAGCCTAGCCTCACAGTCCATCACTGGGAGGGAAGCCACTGGCATGAAGGGGAGCACCCAAGATGGCAGCCAGCCCCTCCTCCCTCTGTTTCTGACTGATGGGCAGGGCTGCCTTTCATATAGCCCTGCCCTCTCTGCCAATCAGCAGCAGGCGGGGGGGGGGGCACATGAAGGGCAGCCCTCTCCACCAATCAGCAGTGAGAGGCGGGGCTGCTGGGACACCTTGGTCAATCAGCAGTGCAGGGGGGCTCACTGCGAAAAGGCTGCAAAAAGGGCACTGGGTGCTGCAAGCAGCCCACAAGTTTTCCTTTGTTTTAGAGTGATTTAACTAGATCCCTGCTCATGATACCCACCTGGCCAACCTAAAATCTTCCTTTTTACAAAAACATTGAATAGAGAAGCAGACTATGCATATGAAAAAACTATCCAAATACCCCCAAGTAATCTATTACTATACAGAAGGAAAACCCAATGTGACTACACACTCCTGGTGTTCAACTACCATCCTTCTCTGGAACCAATCAAAAAAATAATCAAACAACTTAGGCATTTACCCAAACAACGTGCTCCAGGAGCTGGGGGAAAGGGCACTTTAATTAGAGCGGATCTCGGAGCCGCTCTAATTAAAGAGCCCAGTATTTCATGTGTTTCGGTGATTAATCAAGTCTACTCTGACGCACTGTAATTACAACACGTTGGAGCAGCCTCCATGCATGTGTGTAGGCACCCATTTAGTCTACATGTGACAAAGATCAGACCTTGAAAGAAATATTCCCAGCCTCTCCATTCCTAGCTTCCAAAAAAACTTCCTAACCTTGCCCAAATCATCATCACAAGCTGAACAGACATCAAGTGGGACACAGCCTTGCCTTAGCAAGAAATGCTTAACTCATTTAGACAGCTCAACTGCTACTACAATCAGCATCCTCCATAACAAAACCATCAAAATCCATGCCTTTCCCAGAATGTGATATATCCAATTCAATGCACCAAATTCCCTTTTGACTGAAAGTAAACAGCAGCTATGCACCACAGTGAAATCTCACAGAAAAGATAAAGGACAGGGAGACGCACACTCTTAATAGCACAGTTCTCACAGAACAACCACTCCCTCCCTGACCACACTATCATGCTCAAGAGAAACGTACCTAACACCTTTAAAAGGAGAAATTGGGAACAAAAATTCATAAGCTCACTGGATCCTAAGAACCAAGTATATATCACTGTTAACAGCAAGTACATATTGGTTTTATGGCACATTATAACCTACCTGATTCCTGAATTCTTCCCACACATGAAAGGTGATAATAACCGTTCTCCCTTTTGTAGGCCTTGATCTCTCAGTAATCAGCTTCTTTTCTTCTGCTAACTGTTTGCTACCCCTGGGAATGCCTCTCCCCCCTCTTCCAACTGTATTTTATTATGCTGTGCTGGTTTTCACTCCTCACACCTGATGAAAAATGTCTTGCATTAGAAAGCATGTCTAACTCTATCTCAACTATGCAGCTGGTCCAACAAAAGAAAGTACCCTAAGAAATCCTTGCTTCTTTACAGAGAAATGGCTTTTTCTACAGAAAGGGTATAATGATTAGAGTATGGAATAAAAGGATTTTTTAAACACCATAGTTTCTAAACACTAACGCTGATATCTAACCTTAAACTTCAAATTATACACCTATTATTTCAACACTTAAATTTCAAACAAGTACAGATATTCACACAGGGCTGCATGAGCCATCATCAAAATAACAACTTGAACAGTACACATTCTAAATACAAATTATTATAGACTATTTATAATTATGCTAAAGATACCACTGCTTGATAAGTCCAGTAATCAATGACAAAATCTTAGCTTCCTTCTGAGCTCAATGCACAGCACATGTCTGATTCATTATTTTGGGACAAGCTATACTGCCTGTTGCAGGAGCGGGCAATTATTTCCGCTGGAGGGCCGCTTAATGAGTTTTGGTGACTTGTCAAGGGCCACATGGGTAGCCCTGCCCCTTGACAGTTGCTACACCCCCTAGATGCCATCCTGGGACCAGAAGTCACACTACTAATCCCTGACCTTTGCCACCAGAAGTCCCTTCCCTTGGCCCCCAGAAATATTCCTTTTGGGAGGGGGGTGTTGCCATCTTAGAACCAGAAAAAATCCAAATCATACACTAAAATTGAAACTCCTACTATAACATATTTTAATTTTATTACAAAAAATATTTGTCATGATTTGTGTTTGCATAATTTATATAGAGGTGATTGCATAATAACTGTATATTGTGGGGGGGTGTCTGTGTGTGTATGGTGGGGTGTGTGTGTATGTAGGGGGGA